GGCACAAATGACCATTTCTATGGCACGAATGATCATTTTTGAGGCACAAATGACCATTTCTATGGCACAAATGACCATTTATATGACACAAACGACCGTTTTTATTGCATAAATGACCGTTTCTATGGCACAAACGACCATTTTTTAAGGCACAAATGACCATTTCTATGGCACAAATGACCATTTCTGTGGCACAAACAACCAATTTCATGGCACAAACGACCATTTTTTAAGGCACAAATGACCATTTCTATGGCACAAATGACCATTTCTGTGGCACAAACAACCGATTTCATGGCACAAACGACCATTTTTATGGCGCAAACAACCAATTTCATGGCACAAACGACCATTTTTATGGCGCAAATCACCATGCTTATGGCGTAAATCACCATTTTTATGGCACAAATGGCCCTTTTCGTGGTAGAAATGAGCATTCTTGTGATACAAAGTGCTATAATCGTGGTACAAGTGGCGTTGTCAAGGTACAAAATACCATAGTCGTGGTACAAGTGACCATTGTCATGGTAGAAAGTACCATTAATCGCGGCAGGCGTTGCTGTTGTCATGGTACAAAGCACCAGAGTCGTGGTACAAGTAAGCATATTGATGGTAGAAAGTACCAAAGTCATGGTACAAGTGACGATTGTGATGGTGCAAAGTATCATTTTCATGGTACAGTTGACCGTTGTCATGGTACAAAGCACCATGGGTCGTGGTACAAAAGACCATTTTTATGGTGCAAGTGGCCGTTGTGATAGTACAAAGTGCCATAATCGTGGTAAAAGTGGCTGTTGCTATAGTGCAAAGTATCGTTAGTCGTGGTAAAACTGACCATTTATTTTGGCATAATTGACCACTCTTGTGGCTCAACTCAGTTTCTACGGTGCAATCAACCATTTCTATGGCACAGTTGATCATTCTTATCTGCGGAATGAGCGTGTCTGTGTCACCACTAGCTAGATCCGTATTAGAAAGGACCAGTGCTATGGGATAAATAACCATTGCCAGTCCTTAGAATCAACTAACTCATCTGCTTTATCATATATATTGGCATCTTGGAATATTTTATGTCAACTGTTTGAATATATCTTTAGTATGTAATATACAACATTTTGCAAATATCAATGATTTGTCCTAAGCTCATCATTGAACAGAATTCATTTTTATTAAAAAAAAATAAGGACGTCTGAGTCAGCATTCCGCCAGTCTAGGACCCAGTGAATCGACTTTCAATGTCGATGAACCTTACTTGTTTCTTGTTATTTCAAGAGGATAGAGAAAATTGGTAAAATACTACATGATAATGTGACAACAGTTTCTCATTGATAGTAAAAGCTATCGATCTCAAACTGTGTGCTTATTTACTACCAAGTAGATACAATAATCTATCAAAGTTGCAAAGAATTTACTTGTTTTGAATGCAAGAACGATGAATTTGAAATTCATTTCAAAACTTCTAGAACATCCCCCTTATTAAATCATATTGTTTTATTTTATTGAAGTCTCAACTAACAATTATTTCTATTGAATTCAAATATTTCCACTTACCATTTCTACAACATGATTGAGGTATATCTTCTCCAGTTAATTTATGAAAATAACTTTCACTATAATCTCAAATTGGATTATCTAATCCACAACATGAATACTAAATGAAATATAAACATAAAAAAAAAGCTTCATTTTAGTTATTGTTTACTTTTGTTTGTAATTGATTCCAGAATATTGTGATTGGATTTTCAAGTATATTATCATAATCTCGAATAGATATTTGCATATAT